TTTGATTTTCCATCAATGAAAGTATTTCATCATGATCTCAATCAAGCATATACAACAGGCCAACTATTATATGATGACAACACTCTTCTACGTTATCTTGATTGTAAATATAAATACTACTTCTACTTTTCTCATTCCTAATATATTCTTGTCTTTACTTATGTAGATGCTGTTATTGAACAACAAATGTCAATGACTGGTGCAAGTATGTTTTGGCTTGATGCTCTTCATGATTGTAAACTTGATCAACCTTTGCCACTACCATATGATCGACACCGTCTCTCAAATGAACATCGAAGTGGTCGTGGAACAACTATTTCATTTGATTTTGGTCAAGATCTTTCACATGACTTTCTTATTCATGCATCTTCAAATAACATATCACTGGAATATCTTGCACTTGCCACTTATTATGTGTTTTTATTCAAATTAACAAATGGTGAAAAAGATTTATGCATTGGAATAAATACACATGGTCGATATAGAGATGAATTTAACTCTATCGTTGGAATGTTTGTGAATGCTATACCTTTGCGATGCGTGCTCGATCCTCATTTATCATTTGATAAAATCACCAAGCAAGTTCAAGATAATATGATGAATTGTATTAAATATTCATATTTTCCACTTCAACATATTCTCAATCAACATCCAAATATGTCAAATCCTGTATTTCTTGATACATCATTTGAATTTATATCATCTGTGAGAAGAGATGAGAAGAATGAAATAATGATTGGTGATAGTCGATTATCTTTATTACCTTATTCAATTAAGATTAGTGAAGATGAAATAATGAGTAAATTTGATTTCATTCTCATTTTTCATCATGATCTAAAGCTAAATGAATTCTCGTGCACCATCAATGCTTCACTTGATTTATTTAATGCTGAAACAGTTTGTACAATTGAACAAAGATTACAGACAATGTTACATCAACAATTCACATCTTTCGACTGTACAACAGACAAATCCATCTATGAATTATCATTAGCATTATCAAATGAACAATATCTAATGCAATCAGTGAATAACACACAAGTAGCATTTTCATCTCTTCCCACTTGTATTCATCATGGATTTGTGTACCAAGTAATGAAACACCCACAAAAACTGGCTGTGGAACTAGATGAACAATCATTGACATATAGTGAACTTCTCTATTATGTTCAAGTATTATCTTTAACTCTTCTCAATGAATATCATGTGCTGCTAGGTGAAATAGTTTGTCAATGTGTTGAGCGAAGTCTGTCCATGGTAAGTTACTTAAGATGAGTAACTACTGATGTGAGTTTGAGATTGACTTTTGATTAGGTGATAGGTATTATGGCAATTGAGATGGCTGGTGGTGTCTATTGTCCATTATCACCTCGAGATCCACAACATCGTTTATATGCACTCATACAACAGACACAAAGTCGTCTTGTACTTGTTCATCATTTAACTACAATGAAATTCGATCATAATATTGTTTCACTTGATATTGATTCAGTTTTGACTAATATTCAGACGGACAGTATAGTTCATGTAGATCGCCTCTCAAATGTCCCAGTAATACCTGATAACATAGCTTACATCATCTTCACAAGTGGATCGACAGGAACACCGAAACCGGTTAGTATAAACATGGTGTTTGTAACTTCATATCATATATAATTATCATTGTTTATAGGCTCAACTTCGACATAGAAATTTTACTCAATCAATACAGTCTTTGGTACATGTTGATATATTTAACAAAAACCATACCATTATACAAATGGCGCGATGTTCGTTTGATCTCCATGTACAGGAAATCTTAGGAGCATTAATAATAGGAGCGACAGTAATTATGTTACATCCACGAGGCAACGTTGATTTTGAATACCTTTCCATGCTTATGGAAAATAAACAAATTACTTTTCTTTATACTGTACCCACATTACTGCAACTCTTTCTTAATTTTATCAAAGATAATAAAACAACAGATATTATGCAACATTTGCGATCTCTCTGTACTGGAGGTAAATATATAACTACTTAATTGTATCATTATCTTCTACTATAATTCTTTTTTCTTCTTCTTAGGTGAACGTTGCTCTGTACAGCTTGTTGAATTATTAGAAAGCATTATAAATAATGACTGTTCTATATGGAATTTATGCGGGCCAGCGGAAACAACTCTTCAATCTTTATTTCATCGAGTAAATTCACAACTAGATAAAGAGACTATTCCACTTGGTAGACCACTACCTAATTATTCCTGTATAATCAAAGATAACTTCGGACTGCCTGTCTATAGCGGTCAAGAAGGAGAGATGTTGGTAAGAGGAGTAGGCATCTTTGCTGGTTATCTTGGACGTGATGATTTGACAGCAAAAGCTCTTCTTGAAATAGATGGTCAACTATTTTATCAAACAGGTGATCTTGTCAAAATGGATGGTAATGGTCTCCTTCATTATCAAGGAAGAAAAGATCATCAAATCAAACTTCATGGACAAAGAATTGAACTCGGTGAAATAGAACGATGTTTACTTAACATCTCATCCATCTCTGCTTGTGTTGTCATGAAATGGAATGATGATTATTTAGTAGCTTATGTTCAATCTTCTTCTCATATCAACGAAGAAGAACTACGTCAACATTGTCAATCTCATCTTCCACCACATATGATTCCATCTTTCTTTATAATACTTGAGAAACTACCCTTGAATCCAAATGGTAAAATAGACAGAAAACAACTTCCCTCACCCCAATTTTCGTTATCGACTTTGTTATTGTCCAATAAATCTGATACTCCTCTTAATCACTTCGAAGAACATATACACACTATTTGGTGTCAAGTTCTTCATTGCAACGAAAATCACATTTCTAGAACTACCAGTTTTTTTAGTGTAGGTGGTCACTCACTTTTATTTATCCAACTTTATCATCATTATCAATCAGTATTTAACTTTGATGCTCATACACTTTCCATTGCTCCATTTCTTCAACAACCAACTATTTTTCAACATTCACAATTACTTCAAACAGCTATAATGAATGATGTCAAGGCTACACAATGGCACTCATTACATATAAATGAAGGTAAAAATATTTATTAGGAGCTTATTAAAATAATTTCTGTTATTTAATGCACAGGTGTTGCCTCTTTTGCTCAAGAACGTATATTTCTCGATGAACAAGTTCGTTTTTCGAGTGATATTGCTATCTATAACGAACTGTCGACTTTGCAAGTTGTTCAAGGATCATTATCATTCAATCGTTTATTGCAAGCATTTCGATATGTTTTGAATAAACATAAAATATTACGGACATCTCTTACATTTAACAATGATGATGGTGTTTTGAAACAATCCATCACAGATATACATAAAACATTCACAATAACTATGAATCAAACATTTCAAAATGAAAATGAACTTCAAAACATTATTTATCAAACAACGATTAATCCTAATCTCTTCGATTTATCAAATGGTCGTGTTTTTCGTGCTGAAATTCTGAAACATCAAATATCATTAAATAAAAATGAGAATAATAGCAATGAATTCATAACTAACTCTAGTGTTCTCCTCATTGCTTTTCATCATGCAGCATTTGATCGAGCAAGTACTTCGATCTTTTTCAATGATCTATGTTTAGCTTATAATACTAATGTGATATCAATGGAAGATGATGATGAATCATTGCAATATATTGATTATAGTACACATGAACGTCTAATTGATATGACAACATCTCGTCAATTTTGGTATTTACAATTAGAAGAATACAATTTAGAATATCGATTATTATTACCAGTTGATCGACATCGTTTATCTAATGATCATCGATCGAGTTCTGCTTCTGTCACTCAAATCTCTTTTGACAACGAAATTTCACAATCATTTCTTGATTATGCTTCTATACATAATGTGACACCATTTCAGTTAGGTCTGAGTGTATTATATGCTTTTCTTTTCAAGTTAACTCATGGTGAAACTGACTTATGTATCTCTTCTATTAATGCTAATCGATATAAAAGTGAATTGCAGAATATAATGGGAATGTTTGTTTCGACA